CACACACACACACACACACACACACACACACACACACACACACACACCTAAGACAACAGGGTTACAAATAGGATACAAATACCTGGTACATTATAACTTAAAATACTGTTCATACATCTGGTGTGTGTGTGCTGGACGTCCCGCAGAGCGACCGCCTGGATGGAGGGAGAACAAGTAGAAATAAAGTGAGCAAAGAGTCCGGTTGTCCTGGTAACAGATTGTTAATCTGGAGAATATCACGGAGGACAATCTGATGTTTTGTGTTTTGTTCAGGACCTGATTTACAAAAAATAAAACCTGCTTCAGTACCGACACGAGGGAGCGAAAACCACGAGGAAGGTTTAGTGGAACACGTGACCGTGAGTACAACCCGACTGACACAAAAACACTGATTATAACTACGGTGACCGAGCGAGTAGCAGTCGGTACGATGACTCGGGACGTCCCGGTGGCTCAAAAAGCTCAAACACACAACTTGAAGGTTGAAGGAACTCACCGAGAATCAATAAAACAGGAGTGAAGTATGAACACTGAGCCTCGTATACGAGCAGGCGTATTAGAATAATAACAGATACTTATAGAATATATTCGTTAGCTGGAGGCGTCGGTTGGTTTGACTGTGACGGAGCTCAACGCGGCTGTTTGACACGTTGGACTCGTATTAAGTCCTGAATCATCTGAGCATATATATTTACACATTAACACAATCCTCTCTCTATGTCATGATAAAAAAACATTCACACACACAAATATAGCATTTTAAAAATAATTATTAGCACCAGTGTATCAGATAAAAACTCTCGCTACGCAAAATGTACAGAGTTGCATAGTGTTGGATTTAGCCTGGAAGAAGATATTAATGTGTGTGAGCGGTAAGAAACACCAGCGGTAAGCAGCAACTTGTGGGACAAGAGATAGAAATAGAACACGCGTACACGAGACATGATTTAAAGACGCGTCCGCAGAGCCGCCGACGTCCTGAAACATGTCGCTTGTATCTGGAGAGACGTGATAAAACACACGATGGTCTCTGAGCAGAAACAAAGCTGGCACAACATCTGAATATCTTGCACAAGTTCATATTTCATTCCCAGAAGATGCAAATATTCACACAAGTTTAATATATTGTGCATTTAAGATAATATCCTGCATTTGTGGGAATAAAATATGAATTCATCTTGTGTGTACACGTTTTTATTTTGTTCCCAAAAGATCCAAATCTTGCACACAAGTCAATATTTTGTGCGTAGACGATAATAACTTCAAACTTCAAACCAAGATCCAAATCTCGTGGGAGCAAGACGATAACTTGTGTGTCGGGAACCAGATATTCTATTAGTCTAGTTCCAAAGAACATCCACGTCTTGTTCATACGAGTTAGAATCCTCCACCTGCAAACATACGGTCTAATTCCCTCAGACGGTGTAATCTTGAGGGAACTAGACGCGTCTTTTGGGAACAAGATTTAAAAACAACATGTTTTCTGGACTTCAGAGGCTTCGTATACACCAGCGGAGTGGGCGTGGCTCTACTCAACAACACGACCCATTGGAGGTGAAAGTACTGATGAACTGAAGTGAAATACTTGTTTTTCATCTGCTGGTGTTTTTAGTCTCGAAGCTTCGGGAGGAAAACAGAAGAGAGGATTCCTTCACTGTGTGGTTTCTGAAAACACGATTGATTTAAACATTTTAAAAACAGAGTGTAGCCGTACATTCAGCCGGCGTGTCCCCCGGGGCATGATGGGTAATACAAGCGGACACTTCCTGTTTGTGAAACAGACGGGTTTGTGGTTCTGGAGGCTCTTCTAGCTCTCTGAGTTCATTCTACCGTGACCACGTCACTGCGTCTCCCAAAACAGCTGCTTTTCTTTTGATAACACAAATAAAATCAAAATAAAACGTGAACGTGGCTTCAAAGACAAGAATCTGAGGACAAGAAATATATATATTTAAAAACTGTTTTGGTAAAAAGTTGGCGTGTTTGCCAGAGTGTTAGAGGTGAGGGGGAGTGTTGGAGTCGGAGGGGGCGGAGCTTAAGGCCGCTCCAGAGACGGCGTGTTGAAGCAGCCGTCGGGTAACGTGCTCTTGATGTCGTTGAGGTTGGCGATGTCGGCGCGGATCTCGCGGATCTGCCGGTCGTAGTCGTTGATCATGTCCTCTTGGCTCCGCGCCACGTCGTTCAGCTCCGTCAGCTTCCGGTCCAGATCGCTGTCGCCCATCTTGCCCTTGGCCCTCTTCAGGGACTCGTCGATCTGGTTCAGCTTGCTCAGGTCCACCTTGTCGATGTTTCCTGGAGAGAGAAATCCGGTTCCGGATGAACTCTGGATCGATCTGCACCACAAACCAGCTTCGTACTTTGTTTTTAGCTCTTTTCATTGTGACGTGTATCGATGAATGATTGTTTTAGGTTTAATATAATATAATATATAAAATAATCAAAAAGAACCGATGAGAGTGCTAGCATCAGTAAAACCCCGCCCCCCATCCTTCAGGGTTGTTCAGGGTCTCAGACTGCGAGGACCTTCTTACCCAGCTGATCCAGCAGGATAGTGATGGTGCTCAGCACCGTCTTCACGGCGCTCTTGGCCTTGCGGGCGTTGTCTTCCGCCTCCTTCGCGTTATCCGACGCCTGAAAGAGGAAAAAGGAAACGTAAGCCAGTGTTGACCCGACACACAGACTGGATCTCACAGATCTCATCTGAGGCTCTTCTGGAACCCGGATCCTACCATCCCCGCCATCATCATGTCCTGGTCGGCCTCGGCCTTCTTCCTGGCCAGCTCCTGCTCGGCGGCGTCCAGCTGGTCCATCATGTCGCCGACATCGTTGTCCAGCTTGTTGGTGTCCTGGAAGGCCTTCTCCGCGTCCTCCTTGGTCTTGGCTGAGCCCTGAAGAGGACGCAGCGTGTATTTAATTCATGTTTTATGATATTTTATATGATATATATATATATATTACTCTCCGCTCCCGTCGTACCTTCTGCACATTGCCGGCGATCCTCTCAGCCTCCTCCGCCTTGCTCTTGGCCTCCCGGGCGTCAGCGGCCGCGTTGCCGAGCGCCGCCTCCGCCTGCTTGGTCTTCTGGTTGGCGGCCATGATGGTGGCGTTGATGGAGGGGATCTTCTTCAGGGCTTCTTCAGCCGCCGTCTTGTTGTCGTTTACTCTCTTATCAAAGTCTAAAGGAAGAAGAATTAAAGAGAAAGTTAGATCAGTAACTGAAGACAGACAGAGAGACAGACAGACAGACAGACAGACAGACAGA